AAATGAAAAGCTCCAGATACACTTCACAGTGAAACACCGTGAACTTCGAGTCAGTCCTACTTCTCCTCTCTCCTCTCCCCTCCCTTCTTCCCGCTCTTCTTTTGGTTTCTGGAGACAGGGTTTCTTGTAGCCTTGGCTGTCCTGGAACTCACTAAGTAGCCAGGCTGGTCTTAAACTCAGAGATTTGTCTGCTTCTGCTTCCTGGGTGCTGGGATTAAAGGTGTGTGTCAGCACTGCCAAGAAAATGTCCTATTTTATTATTTCTTTCATAATGTTAATTGGGTTTCCTACTTGGGAGTCTTAAAAGTAAAATAATGAAGTTCTTTACTAAAATCTGAGTCAAGGGCAGTACTTTATACATAATTAAATACAATACAATGGGAATTTGTATTAATTCAGAGAGAAAAAAAACATCAATTTACTGTGTGGCCCGATGGTAACTTAACAATTTTTCTATAGCATTTAATGATTTCTTTTTTCTGCAACAATTCTACTTATTAAACATACTAAGTTCTAATTAGTTTTAGCAGATGTTGTTCTTCCCCAATACTGGGCACAGAGGTGTTCTGTGAGTTTCTTGCTATCTGCAGCACAGTAGACCTACGCCCATGTCCTCCCTCTCCATGTCTGTCTGCTCTGGAGCACTCAGAGGCACCTCTGAGAAGTCACAAGGTCAACTTGCTTTTTAAACTCTGATGTCTGACATGATAACTGTAAAAACTAATATGGAATTCTTTTCTGGAAGAGAGGATCTTGCTATGTATTATGGGATGGTTTGGAACAACTAACCTTTCTGCCTCAGCCTCACAAAGTGCCAGGATTACAGATATGCATTACCATATTGCTTTTTCTTTCATAGGTCTTTATTGAAGAGTTCATGCTTCTCTTGTTTTTATAGTTTCTCTTTCATGATTTTTGACAACTTTTTTTGTAGTTGTTGCTTTTAAGATACGGTTTCTCTGTGTAACTAGGTTGTTCTAGAACTCACTTTGTAGATCATGCTAGCATTCAATCTTGTCATTTTTTAAAAGACTTATTTTAATTTTAGGTGTGTGGGTGTCTTACCTGCATTACGTTTGTGTAAAACACTGCCTGGTACCTGCAGAGGCTAGAAGATCCGTTGGAACTGGTGTTACAACAGATGGTTGTGAGCTGTCATATTGCTGGGAACTGAACCTGAGTCCCAAGAGTGGCCAGTGCTCGTAACTGCTGAGCATCTCTGCAGCTCACCTGATATTATCTTTACTCTCTATTTCTGTCAATATAACTGGTTCTTTACCTTTTACCAGTAACTTGGAAGAGTCACATGATTACTGGCCTACCTATTTGATGTTTCTTCCTTCTTTTATTTATTTATTTTTTCTTTTGCTTTGAGACAGGGTTTCTCTGTGTAGTCCTGGCTGTCCTGAAACATGTAGACCAGTCTGGCCTTCAACTTAGAGATCCACCTGCCTCTGTCTCTCAGGTGGCGGGATTAAAGGTGGTGCACCACCACTGCCCAGCTGAACAGATCTTTCTCATTACTGTCTCCAAACCCAGCAGTACAGACAGCTGCTTCCTGTGAAAAATGAGCTTCTGGCAGTTGTGCAGATCTTCCTCCAATCTTCATCTGAGTACTAATTGAGATGTTTTACTAACCGACTGTTTTGTTTTTTGTTTTTGGGGTTTTTTTGTGTTTTTTTTTTTTTTGAGACAGAGTTTTTCTGTGTAACAGTCCTAGCTATCCTAGAACTCGCTTTGTAGACAAGCCGCTTCTGCCTTCCAAGTGCTGGGATTAAAGCCATGCGCAACACTGCCCAGCCCACTGTCCATTTTTAAAAAACGGTTTAAAAACTGCAATCTGCCTACTTTAGAATTTAGTCATTAAATTTATAATTCAGTAATCTAGAAAACTGCTACATTTGTGCCACTATCCCCACTATCCATGTTTGGAACATGTCCACACCCTCAATGAGTTTTTCCTTCTGCCATCTGCCCTACATCTATCTTTAGAGCTCTGCCTTTAAGGGTATTTCATGTGGTAGAAGTCACAGCAAGATGTCAATGCTCACACTTTCTGATTCATAATACAGTAATTTGTTTCTTTTAAATTTCTGAATATCTTCAGTTCATGGTGTCCATTACCAGATGACCCTTGGCCTTCTTCTAGGTTGGGTCATCATAACCAATGCTGTCATTTATCCTGAGCACACTACTTGAAATGATACCCCAAAACTCTGTCAAAAGAATCTGCTTATACCTACCCAAACTGTCCAGAACACATAGATGGAAGGAAACAAAAGAACACACCTAACCTGGTAAGGTAACATATGCCCTAAACCCCAGCACTCAAGAGACCAAAGCAGCAGAACTGAAGAGTTTGAGGCCAGCCTGGGTTAAATAGTGAGTTCAAGGGTAGCTTGAACTAACTGAGCCATAAAACAAAACAAAACAAAAAAATCATGCCCATGCATGCCCTGTGTGGCATTGCACTAGATCCTTACCTAGAAGACAAATTCTACATGGGACATTAAGGGACAAGTGACATCATTTCACCAAGCCTCAGATACCTGGAAGAGGTTAAATACATGGCTGCCTAGCTCAACACAGTAGTATAAGGTAGCTGATCCCAAGGGCATACAAATGTCTGTTTCTAGCAAGTTCTCCAATGTTGCTAGAGTTATAGATTGAACAGCCAGACTCTAAACCATGGTGTTAATACATCATGGGTAAATTTCTCTATTGTTGATCAATGAATTGTGGTGATTTACAGGAATATCCATTTTAGGGAAATATGAAGTAAAATATCCAGTAAGAGGGAAAAAGAAATGTCCCTAACCTGCTTTGAAATGACTCAAAACTATAGAGCAAACATGGTCATGTCAGTGGTTAGCGTGGGCAAAGAAAGTCTTTTCCAATTTTGCCACAGCACGTGTACAGGAGGTAGAGGACAGCCTTTGGTATTAGTCCTTGCCTTCAACTTTGTTTGAAATTGGGGTCTCTCTTTTGTTCATTTTAATTTGTTCATATTAATATTTAAAGATTTACTTATTTATTATATATACAGTGCTCTGTCTGCATGGCAGAAAAGGGAGCCAGATCTCATTACGGATGGCTGTGAGCCACCCTGTGGGTGCTGGGAATTGAACTCAGGACCTCTGGAAGAGCAGCCAGTGCTCTTAACCTCTGAGTCATCACTCCAGCTCCAAGTATACTGGTTTTTTAAAAAAATCACTCACCCACCCACCCATGGGGATCCTGGGGACTGATTAAACTCAGTCCACCAGGCTTAGCAGTAGTTTAACCACTGAATAATTATGCTGGTTTCATTTTTTTGTTTTGTTTTGTTTTTCGAGACAGGGTTTCTCTGTGGCTTTGGAGTCTGTCCTGGAACTCTCTCTGTAGACCAGGCTGGTCTCGAACTCACAGAGATCCGCCTGCCTCTGCCTCCCGAGTGCTGGGATTAAAGGCGTGCGCCACCACTGCCTGGCTTGCTGGTTTCATATGTGTATGTACACACACTCACGTGTATGCACACCTGAGCCATCTTTGTTTTTGAGACAGGATCTTACCATTTAACTCTGGCTGGCTCAGAAATCATAGATATCCACCTGCCTCTCTGCCTCCCAAGTGCTCTGACCAAGGTGTACATCACTCTGTCCATCTAAAATTTTTAATACACTTATTTGTTGTGTGTGTTTGCATGATATACGTGTGTAAGCAAGGGTGTGGAGGTCAGAGGATAACCTTTAGGAGCTTGTTTTTTTCCTTCTATCACATGGGTTTTGGGGATTGAGCACAGGTTGTTAGTTTTGGCAACAAGTGCCTTTTCTCAGTGAGATATCTTAACAGGCCCTGCTAGAACATCTTGCTGGCTCCACTATGTATAGTCCTCAAGTATGAATGCCGCTTCATATTACTTTATAATGAATATAGGAAATATCACTAAATGTCTCTCAAGCAACCTTTTTTGTGTGTGATATGTTGTGTGGGTGGGTATGAGTATGTATGTAGATGCAAGAGGTTGGGTGACTTCCTCGACTGCCCTCCATCTGATATATATAAATAAAATGTATGTGTGTGCAGTATAGTGTATACTAAGGCTAGAGGACAACTTTAAGGAATATATTCTCTCCTTCTACTTCCTTTCAAAGCAGAATGCCTCATTTCTTCTGTATTGCATACCAAGGTTAGTTACCTGGGAGCTTCCAGTCTCCCATTCCCAATGTACTGTGGGAGTGCTGGCATCACCAAAGCACAGTACTGAACCAGGATTAGACTCAAGCAGACAAACAGGCAGGGAAAGTGACTTTACCAGCTAAGTCATCATGCTGGCCCTTCACTCGTGTTTTGAGGGAGGTCTCCCACTGAACTTCAAGCTTGCTAGCAGGCTCTCCCATCTCTACTTTTCTAGTGCTGAGATTACAAGCCCAACATTTGAATACTGGTTATCTGTTTTGTTTTGGAGAGAGCAAGGTCTCACTGGCTCTGACTACCTTGGAACTCACTATATAGATCAGGCTGGTCTCCAACCCACAGATATCAAAGTCCTGGTCAACCTGACTGCTAGGATTAAAGGCATGTAACACCTTGCCTGGTAGATACTATGTAATGAATTTAGCTCCTCCTGCTTGCATGGCGAGTATTTACTAATTAATTGAACTACTTCCCCAAACCCCCAATAACTTTAATTACTAAAAACAACAGGTAGGCCAAGTTATGTAAGATTAATACTAATTTTCAGAAGTAATCAAACGGAGCTAGGATAATGTAAAGCAAGTGGAAGTAACAACCATTACCAATGTTTAGGCTGTATATTCGTCAATTGAGAGTGGAAAAAGATCACCATGACCTGAGGCTGATGATTTCAACTGCAGGCAGCCTATCTGAATACAGGCTCTCTAGATACAATCCTAAGTACAATTATCACAGCACTTAGTACTTACAATCGGACAAAAGACAACAAACATAGAGTGGCCAGGCCTGTATGGTTTAAAATAAATAGCATGAAAGATGCATACCTTAAACCCCAGGAGAGGCGGGCGAGAGCAACTTGTTACAAACTTGAGTAACTTGCGTTTTTCTTCATCAGTGAAACCTTCTACAACTCTCCAAAAGATTTTAATGACAGGATGATCAGCAGAATAGCCCCCTATGACAAAATGAGCACATTATGCATTAAAAATAAAATCAATACAGAAGCAGGAGCAAAAAAATTGGAAGTATGACATCCATGTTTTGAGGGGACTTTCAGAGATGAGAGTGGGTTTACTAAGAGCCAAACTGGAAGATACTTGCTGCAGTAGTCTGAATGCAATTGGCTCCCATGATCTAGCAGGAAGTGGTACTATTAGGAGGTGTCGCTTGTTGGAGGAAGTGTATTACCATGGGGGCAGACTTTGAGGTTTCCTATGTTTGGAATACCGCCCGGTGAGTTAGTTGACTTCCTGCTCCTGGCAGGTCAAGATGTAGCCAGCAGTATGTCTGCTAGCACGTCGCCATGCTCCCTGCCATGATGACAATGAACTAAAACTCTGAAACTTTAAGAAAGCCGCCCCAATTAAATGTTTTCTTTACAAGAGTTGCCATGGTCATGGTGTCTCTTCACAGCAACAGAAACCCTAACTAAGACACTTGCCTCTGGTTCTTGGTGGAGGGCAGATGTGACCAACCATGACAGAGCAACTCTGAGCCAGAATAAGCATGATGAGAACATGAAATGATGCCTAACGAATGCTAGAAACCAACAACTCCTTCCTGGGTAGGAACTGACACTTGGCTACACATCTAAAATGGTAGACACATCTTATTTCTCAGAGAGCTAGGCATTTGGCCAATGTGATCTCCATGTCTTCATAATTTTATTGCCTCTCCTTCTGATAATAAGGTTCAGAGTACAGCTGACAACCAGCCCTGCCTGTGATTAGACACAATTCTAAAATGTACTATCTGCTACTTAGAGTTTTTAATCTCATTAAGTGCTTTCTAAAACTAAAATAATTGCTACATATTGTTCTCTCATTGTTAATCCACTACAGAAATAACATCAATAAGGTATCTTAAGTGCATTAATTGGCACCAAAATGAATATGGTTATTATTTTAAATCTATTTACTGGAATAGCTGGAATCCTTAAAGGTATAAGCTCTCAGTGCAAGTCAAGGAAGGTCAAATAACCCAGGGCAAGTTCTTGGCAAAGAAAGGTCAGAACAATGGCATTTTCTTAAACATATGACCTGAGAGTGCAGACATTATGACTTTTGGCATTATTTGCTTTTATATAAGTTTAGAGTTCGGGTTTAAAGCAACAATAACTACAGAACAAATGCACACACACAAATAAACATATACATTTCAGTGACTAATATAACTAGATTTAGAACATTTTCATTTTCTCACAAAGATCCTACAGCCATCTCTGACCTCTGTTTCTACCTTCACAGATGGTATATACAAAACACCATTTAACAGAACACAGTAACCTGAATTGGGTTTTTCCTTCTCTCTCCTTTCCTTTCTCTTCCCATTCCACCTGCTAATTTCTGTTTTTGATAGAGTCTCACTTTGTAGCCCAGATTTGCCACCCCAACCAGCTGTTAATCTGGTTCTTTTCTTAATTTAAAGTTATATTTTCAAAACTATTTTTAAATTTTATTTATTATATAGACAGTCTTCTGCCTGCATGTATGCTTGCATGCCAGAAGATCTTATTACAGATGGTTGTGAGACACCATGTAGTTGCTGGGAATTGAACTCAGGACCTCTGGAAGAACAGCCTGGGCTGTTAACATCTGAGCCATCTCTCCAGCCCCTTGTATATTGTATGCATGCATGTATATATGTATGTATATACACCATGTATATATGTGTATGTATATACACCATGTGCATACATTATAAATGGATAGCAGAAGGGGGACTCCTGGAACTAGAGTATAGTTGTGAGCTACCATGTAGGTTCTGGGAAAAGAATGTCCTCTCAAACAGCAGTCAGTATTCTTAACCACTAAGTCATCTCTCAAGCCCAATGTCTGATAAGCTCCAGGGAATCTGATGCTTCTGGCTTCTGTGAGCACCAGGCAAACATGTGATGCACAGACATACATTGGAAGCAAAACAGACACATAAAATCACACAATTAGATTGAATTAATAGGTCAATTTGGAGATAATTACTATTTTAATAATATAAGTTTTCCAGTCAAAGAAAACAGTTTCTCTGTTTATTTAGATCTCCTTGAATTTCCTTTTTCCTTTCTTTCATTTTCTAATTGCTTCATTATCAGAGTTTCTCTGTGTAGCTCTGGTTATCCTAGAACTCAGTAGACCAGGCTGGCCTTGAACTTAATTTAGAGATCCACCTACCCCTGCCTTCCGAGTGATGGGGTTAAAGATGTGCCTCTACTGCCCTGCTAGATCTCCTTTAATTTCTTACAACTCTTTTTGCAGTTTTCATTATATATGCCTTATATTTACATTACTGGGTCCATTTGTAATCTAGAATTTTGGATGCAGTCAGTGGAATGATCAATTCTTTTTTTCTCCACACAGGGTTGTTTTCTTTTTTTCTTCTTCTCCTTCTTTCCCCGCTTCTTCTTCCTCTTTTTTATTTTTAAATTTTATGCATATGAGTGCTTTGTTTCCATACATACCAGAAGAAGAAATCAGATCCCATTACAGATGGTTGTGAGAGCCACCATGTGGTTGCTGGGAACTGAATTCAGGACCTCTGGAAGAGCAGTCAGTGCTCTTAATTATTGAGCTATTTCTCCAGTCAAGAGACAAGGTTTTTGTGTAATAGCCCTGGCTATTTTAGAATTCATTCTGTAGACCAGGCTGGCCTCAAGCTCTTTTGTCTCTTGAGTGCTGGAATTAATGGTGTGCTCTACCATGCCCAGCAGAATCATCAATTCTTGTGTATAGAAGCCCAAGTTTTGTTGAGTTGTTTTTGTTTTCAGAAACCCATCTTACTGATTTTATTTTATTTTGTTTTTTTTTTTTTTGAGACTGGGTTTCTCTATGTAACAGTCCTGGCTGTCCTGGAATTCACTTTGTAGACCAGGCTGGCCTCGAACTCTCTGAGATTTGCCTGTCTCTGCCCCCTAAATGCTGGAATTACAGGTATGAGCCACCACCTTCCGGTTCCCATCTAATTTATTAACCCAGAATATAATCATGCTAATCAGTCTCCTCCACACTCTTCAAAATGGAGGTTGAACCTAGAGTCTTGGGAAACCTGCAAGCAAGCACTTGACCACAGAGATAATTGCTTTTTTGTTGTTTTCTTGATTATTAAGACAGGGTCTTGCTAAGGTGCCCAGGTCGGTTCTGAATTCTCCGTCTTCTGACACTCCCGACCATCTCTTTATTATCAACTTCCTTTTGAGACAGGGTCCTAATGTGGAGCTCTAGTTAGCCTGAAAGTGATTATGTACTCTAGGCTGGCCTCAAACTCAGACAACCATAAATTCTGGGATCAACAGTATGCACCATCACACACAACATAAATCAATTAAAACAGATTACTTAAAAACTAACCTCCCCACCGCCCCCAAAGGCACACACCTTTAATCCCAGCACACTTTGGTTTTTTTGTTTTGTTTTGTTTTTAATGTGAGTACATGGAATGTGAATTCAGATTCTCATTCTTGGGCAGAAAGTGGTCTTACCACTTGCTAACCCCTGAATCTAATTTTCCAGTCTTTACTAGTGCTTGTCTTTTAATAATGAAACAGTTAGTACTGTTGTGTTTTTTTCATTCAATTAATTATTTCTGTGCTGGAGCTTGAAGCCTGAGGTTCACACATATTAAGCTCATTTAACTATAGAGTGCTATGCTAGTCTATCACCCCTTTTACTGTTGTTACTTTTGAGACAAGGTCTCTCTATATAGCCCTGGCTGTCCGGGAACTCACTATACAGACTAGCCTGGCCTAGAGCTCACAGAGATCCATTTGCTCATGGCTCCTAACTGTTGAGATTAAAGCCATGTACCGCCATGACATCTTTAAAAGCAAAAATGGAAGCAACCAAATGCCTATGAGTATAAGTAAAAGAAGGCAGGTCATGAAGAAAAGAACACACAAGGTATAGAACACTATTAAAATTAGAAAAAGTTCATACTTGTACTTGCTGGTAGCCCTGCAAATGACTGAGAAGAGCTCTTAACAGTAAGGTGAATAGACAGGAATGGAGCAGTTTCCTGTGACTCACAGTACACAATCCATGTAAGAGATTATGGTGATAGCTAACCTATGGGGAAGGTAGACCTAAACATGGTGCCACATACCTGAATAGTTTGTAAAGGATTTTAGGTCCTCCAGACTTACGGGAACTTGTGCACCAGAAATTAATACCTGGAGGGAAAAAGGTTAAATTGTAAATCCAAAGGGAGATTTTTCAGAAAGTGTCTTATTTCCTGAGACAATGGTCTTTGATAGTAGTAACTATGGCACCTGAATTTCCTGCTGGTCAAACATTCGGAGCCACTCTAGGCTCACAACGTTAGCCAGGCCCTGACGGAAAGCTAGGCAATGTGGTCGAATCTGCTTGTTCAGCCGGTAGTCAGCCACCAGGTGGATGTAGGCAATGCGGTTGGCCCCAGTTACTGGGATATCTTTCCCACCAAATTTTAGTTCAACCACCTGTGAATATAAAGCAACAGGTGTGACAACAGGCAAAAAAAGTTGCAGAAAACAAGAATCCAACATACAACAGCAGCACAAGCTCACAGGTCAGCCATGGTAAGAGTCAGCACTTTCTGTCTTTCCTCCCATTAAGCATCCTGCCATCTCTCAGCACTAAGGAATCATGCAGTAATGGGAATTATCATACTTCATTTAAAAAAAGTAGAGCCATTATGGGCAAACTTAGGAATCAGAGGGTGATTTTAGTCCAAGAAACAAATTACTCATTCTGGAGAATAAAAACTCATCATACTTCATTGCACATTTTCAAAATGTTGTCTCTACTGTAAAATGTTTGATTTAAGGACAGTGGTAAATTATTTTTGAGGGGGGAAGGAGTAAGATATATTGAAATGCCTTTAATTCCATCACTAGGAAGGCTGAGGCAGGAAGATTTCTGGTGTATACTGAGTTACACAGAGAAAACTGTAAAAACAAAATTCAAAACAAACCAAAATATAAAGAAAAAGACAAACCCTCCCCATCCTAATGCAGTTACACTGTGTTTCTAAGTTTGGAATGAATCTGAAGAATAGCTCTGTAATTGTCATGGCAGGATCAGTATGAAAGTAGTGCAGTGAAAATGTAGCTCTCACCTTGCAGTGAGTCCTTGCCTCAGCAGTAGGTGCTATGACTGTGTAAACTTTCACATACAGAAAAGACCACCACAGGTCACCAGAGATGCGGTACCATCAGCTACAAGAGCATGCTTTGAAATGCCTTGTTTATAACAATGTAAAAGAAATACATTTCTGGGGTTAGTGGAGGTTACCTATTCTGTGAATAAAGAACATACAATAATAAAGGGTAGAGCTGCACACTTGTAACCCCCGCACTTGGAAAGCTAAGGCAGACAGCTAATTCGAAGCTATTCTGGGCCACATACTAGCAGTGAGGGTGGAGACGCACAATAAAAGAGCAAAATCATTTTTTGTGTATCCACATTAACACCTTCTGCTAGTGAACTAAGAATGATAGTCTGAAATGGGATCAGTGTCTGGGAAAGCAGGAGGCAAGCCGTAGGGTGCTTATAATGTAGATCACAGAGCTACTGGCAGCACCACCACTCCAGTTTTACTTTTTTCATGGCTCCATTAACTCTCCAGCATAACAACAACATACTATGAGCTGAGTAGTGGCTTTTATGCCCCCAAGTTTACCACTTTTTATAAAGGTATTTCAATGTGAGGTGAAGAATTTTTTTTACTTAAATCAATCTGTATGTGGTACTGGAGGGCAGGGTGGTCTAATTGTCATTTTATGAAAGTTATGCAGCTTTAAACTTGAGTGTTAAACTTGACTGATTTCTTCCTGCAGTATCTCACATTTTAGACATTCAATCTTTCTTACTAATTTGCTTTTTCAGTTTGGGACCCATCAAATCTTACAATGGGCTTTCAAGCCATTGTCTCTGGGCTGAGTGAGGACTGTTCATTACCTTAATTCCTCTCCTTGTATTCAGCTGACAGTTCATCTGTTAACTAGGCCTCCTGAGGCTATTATATTACCATATATAAAAACATTGCTTCCTTTAAATGGATTAACGAAGGTAATAGATGATGATGTGATTGTATGATGTGAAGACAAAGAAACAATCAAGTTTTCAGTTAAATGGACTTCCAAGACCACCAATTATCTTGCCTAGTAAGACAACAGTGAAATTTCTAGTAACTTAATAAAGTAGTGATACTACCTTTAATCTAAAATCTGCCCTCAGACCAAAACTAAACATCTATGTTTATTTAAAAGCCACTCAAATGTGCCACAATTCGAGGTTTTATATTAAGGCACCCTTTGAAGACTGGACAGATGGTTGTGGGCATAGTTTAGTGGTAGAAGAAATGACCAGCATCATGAGACTCTGGGTTCCACCCACAGCAGTGCAATGAAAAGGCACTACAAGGAAGCTCTCCTTGTAGGCATTTTCCTCTGCGATTTCTGAGGGTCAACTGTGATACCACCACAGCTGCTCTCACATTAGGGAAGGCCCTATGACTTGTCTAAGGTCATATAGGCAAGAATATCGAGGATGCCAATCAAAGTTTTATGACTATCCTCACTATTCATGATTACTTATGGTCTGGTTACACCCTTGGCTTTTTCCTTCAGTAAACACACATAAATTAGCATCTAAACTTTAAGTTCATTTTTAGACTAAGAACAGGCAGATTGTTCACACTAAGGAAATACTCTGGGAACAGAACTGCTACTTCACAGAGGAAGAGTAGTGGTACATGGCCCACAGAGGGTTTTCTGCTTCTAAGTACTTCTGCAGAAGTCCCTTAGATTGGTACATCTGTACTCTTCTCATCAGATCTTTGGTATAGCAATTACTACACCAGCATTTATCACTTCTTAACTGAGTGGCAAATTCTATGCCACCAGTAGCTGCCTCAGGGAACACTTCACAGTATTAATCAAGTGTGCTGACTAGTTTTTTAGTTTTATTTATTTATTTTTTTAAATCAACTTGACACAGGATAGAGTCACTTGGAAAGAAGGAACCTCAATTGAGAAAATGTTCCCATCAGACTGGCCTATAGGTATTTTCTTAATTAGTGATTGACATGAGAGGGTCCAGACCATTGTGGGTGGGGTCATCCCTGGACTTGTGGTCCTGGGTTCTATAAGAAAGCATGAGCACAACACAGGAAGCCACCCAGTAAGAAGCACTCCTCTATTGCCACTGCATCAGTTCCCGCCTGTGGGTTCTTTCTGAGTTCCTGCTCTGACTTCCCCAGGAGACAGACTATAAACTGTAAGACAAATAAACACTTTCCTCCCCAAGTTGTTTTTGGTCAGTGTTTTACACCATAGCAACAGAAACCTTAACTAAGAGATCATGCTGCCAAGATACAGGGCAACAGTAGCATACATACCGGCCGTACAAAGAAAACATCCTTATGATAGGTACAAACCTCACCTTCCAGCCAATCCTGTCCCCGCCCTCCATGCTAGGATTACAGTTTATTCCCTAGGTGTGACTGATTGGTAAATTCTGGAACCCTGGCAAAGAACACACCCAGGATGTTTCCAGGTTACAGCACTTGGCTTTCTACGTGGGCAATGGGATCCTCATAATTGAGCAGAAAGCATTTTATGAACTGAAATGTCTCCCCAACACCTTAAATTTATCTTTCATTTGATACATTAAAAACAAAAAAGTATGCATTTATGAGTTCCTATGTAATGTGATGTCATGATGTTTATTGCATATTAAAGTCAGGTTAAACACATAGCCACAAAGTTTTTTGTTTGTTTTGAGACAGGGTTCCTTTGTGGTTTTTGGAGCCTCTCCTGGAACTTGTTCTGTAGACCATGCTGGCTTCAAACTCACAGAGATTCGCCTGTCTCTGCCTTCTGAGTACTGGGATCAAAGGCGTGCACCACCACTGCCTGGCTCACTTATCATTTTTTCAATGATAAAAGCAACTGAATTCCTTTCTTCTAGGTGTTTGAAATACACAGGGACTTTTTCTCTACAGTAACTTTACTATGTGAATACATACTTGTATTTCATGCACTGATAACCTTTGAGAAAACATCAGAAACAAGTAACAATGTAAATTTAAAAAAAAAATTGCTAGGTGTGGTAGCACATACCTTTGATCCCAGCACTTGGGAGGCAGAGGCAGGTAGATCTCTGTGAGACTGAGGCCAGTATGGTCTACACCGTGAGTTCCAGAATAGTCAAGAGCTATATACTGAGATCATCCCCGTCTTAAAAAACAAACAAACAAGAACAAACTTTAAAGTAGTTACTAACCCAATTACTGAACTCAGAAAAAGATTACTGCTGTACATCAAGGACTAAAAATGCTGCTTGGAGGCACAGTGTCTGCCTAGCACATACCTGGGTTCTAGCTCCAACTTTTCTGCCTGTAACTTTTAAGCCACGCTTGTTAATACTTCACAGCTTATAATTTGTGCTTCCTTAGCTCACATTTTGGTTGGTGGCTAGTAATGATCCACTTATGAGGATGACGTATGTTTTCTGCTCTTTGTTGAGACAAATTCTGGATATAGACCAACCTAGCTTAGAATTTGTTAGTCTGTTGCCTTAGTCTCTCAGGTGCTAGAATTACTACATTCATCAGTATGTACAGTTTTGTGAGTATTTTAAGGAGTCTTCTAAGTTTTGGGAACACTTAACACATACTACAAAAGACAGGATAGTATGCTGTTGTGCCAAGGTCGGGCAGAAAACAACTGTGTTTCTTCCTTGGACAAATATAATATTCTGCAATTGGCTATAGTGACGCCTACCAACTCGGAATCTACTTACTTCAAGAGGGTGAATTTCATGAAATATGACTTATATAATGATAAAGCTGGTATCAAGAAAACTAGTTTGGATGTCAGGTGGTGGTGGCTCATGCTTTCAATCCCAGCATTCGGGAGGCAAAGGTAGGTAAATCTGAGTTTAAGGTCAGCCTGGTCTACGTAATGACTTCCAGGACTACACAGATAAGCCCTGTCTCGAGAAACTACACAACAAACAAAAAACTAGTTTGGAGGTGGATATGGTAGTTTATGACTTCAATCCAAGTACTACACACAGAAGCAGGTGGATCTGAGTTAGAGACCACTCCGGCTTACATAATATTTTCCAGGACACCCAGAGCTACATAGTGAGACCCTGTCTCACCAGACCCTCCCATAAAAAAAAAAAAAAAGAAAGAAAGAAAGAAAGGAAGGAAGGAAGGAAGGAAGGAAGGAAGGAAGGAAGGAAGGAAGAAAAAAAGAAAAAAGAAAAAAGAAAAAGTGATTTTGGGTTAGGCACATGTCTTTAATCCCAGCACTTAGGAGACAGAAGTAGGCAGACCTGTGTGTTGAAGATCAGTCAGCTTCATCTACATAGTGAAACTCTGAACTCTGTCTCACAAAAATACACATGAGCTGGGCGAATCCCAACACTCGGGAAGCAGAGGCAGGTAGATCTCTGTGAGTTCAAGGCCAGCCTGGTCTTCAAGAGCTAGCTAGTTCCAAGACAAGCTCCAAAGCTACAGAGAAACCCTACCTCAAAAAACCAAAACCAAAAAACCAACCAACCAACCAACCAACCAACAAACAAAAACATGCACACAAAGTGCACATACACCAAATAACAAAAGCCCAACAAACCAAAACCAACATCAAAAACTAGTCTGTCTCTAATATAGGCCTTTTTAATTTTTTTTTCTTTTTGCAAATAGGATGAAAGCAGCAGGAGTGGCCAGGTAGATGTGAGGGAAGGAAGGTTTGGCAGTCACTCCCCAGGATGGAAATGAGAGAAGCTCCAGCTTCAACACAGCTATGAGGTACTAATTTAGAGTGGGAAGGACTGCCCGGCAGGGCAAGCTATCCCTAAAAAGATGTTGAGAATAGGAGTGAACTGGAAGGCTTGAGTTGCTGTGGCTGCCAAGCCCACCACAAAAATCTTTTCCAATTGAGAATACTGCCATGGCGACTGAGTTTTGAAGAACATCTTCCACTGACGGAATATAATGAGCCCCAGCTCACCTGTGCTTCCCCCAGGTCATTGTTCACAACAGTAAAGTTCAGTCCCAGCTCTTCCACATCCTCCTCGTAGCTCTTGAGGAAAAGCAGGTTCTTGTAGACTTCGGGGTCCAATGAGGCCAGGTGGTGAATGTCCACATCTGCACTGGTTCCCAGTAGCTTAGACAGGAAAAACCCAGCAAATGGTAGCTCCACCAGCATGTTTTCATACAGAGCCTTCAGACAGACCAGAGGGCAGACAGGGATTACTAACATTCAATATTATCCTCATGCTTCCTATAACCAAAATACAGGTTGATTCAACAGTGAAAGAGTCTTGAGTAGTATACTCTGTCTCCATGATGATGAGACAATCATAAGTGAGACCAATGCATTTACCATGTGCTAGGCTAGGGCTGAAACCACAGAGTGCTAATACCAAATGGGACTTCTAAGGTCACTGCCAAGTCCTTTATGCCATAATAGGTAAGCAAATGTTTTCCACAGAGTCATGAGTGCTTTAGGGTTTGTAGTAGTGCTAGGTACCACATGAACACAAACAGGAAACTCAAACACACCAGAGTACTGTCTCACAACTCTACAGAGGGATCCTTCATGCTCCGGGCAGCTCGGAACACCCTTACCATAATCTATGGCTTCAGCTGCACCCTCTACTTCCTGCCTCTGCACCTGCTGGTCTTCACTGTGTCTTCTTCGTGTCACATCTTTCATTTATCTTTGAAAGACACTGGTCATTGGATTTTGGGACTCTTCTAATTCAGCACGGTTTCATATTTTAACTTGACCATATTCACAGACAGGGTGCACTAAAGCTTGAACACAGCTCCCTGGAGATTATAGATTTGGACATATCAGCTGTAGCTGCTCACTCTATTACTATTACAGTTCAGAAGACTGCTGTTCTTCCAGAGGACCTGAGTTCAATGCCCACCACCCACATCAGACGGCTCCTGTAACTCTGGCTCCAGAAGATCTAATGCATTCTTTTGGTCTCTGTGAGCTCTTGAATACATATGGCATATGCTCACACAGATACACACATATACACCACTTAAAAAGAAAAAAGAGAAGAAATATGTCTTTACGGCAGGTCATTCCTATCTTTAACGCTAACATTTTTTGAAATTATTTGCACAGCAGTATAACTGGCAGACAAACCTTGCATGACTACTTGATAAATTTCTTACTTGGTTATACCTGAGTAACTTCAGGGAACCCCTTCCACAGATCTACCCTTTGTCTGCTCACTTAACAGTAAGTTTCACCATTCCTAAGACTTCTTATAAGATAGCACACATTAGGTTTTTACTGAGGTGTGATAGATTCATCTATTTACCTGGTGATGGGTATGCGTGGTGTTATCACTTCTGAACTTTCATGAACATTTACTTAGGAACAGAAGAACATAGAGGTAGCTGGCACAAGGAAGACATTGTCCAAAAAGTTCTAAAATGCTCGTACTTTTCTTCTACCAGTGACGTGTAAAGACTCCTGCTGGCCCTCATGCTCCCACCTGTCAGTACTGCCAGCTTCCTAATCTTGGCCTCGGTGGTTGAGGCAATGGATCATCTCACTGTGGCTAGAAGCTTACAACTATTGGATTAATTAGTGTGAGTTAGTATGTAGATCTCCAGAGATTTCCTGGCAGAGATGGAAAAGTAAAGTTTCCAACATCAGGTCAGAGATTCATGCCACAAGGTAAATATTCCACAGTTGTAAAATGCAATAAAACTCAAAAATGTGTGGTGAGATAAAAAAAAAAAAATTAGAGTCAGTGGCAAGGTAGCTCGGGGTGAAAGCTCTTGCTGCCAAGCCTGATCCTTGGGACCACACTGTAGAATGAAAGAACTTTACCTTTACATCCACATGTGCACCATGGCAGATGAGCACATACAAAAGCATGTGAAAACCAAGCACCCCCATATTATTTATTGGTGTCTTATTCTGACAGGCAAACTTGGAAACTAACCCATCTTTGTCAAGTTTTCTAGTAAACAGCCTGTGCTGTTCTCGACATAGGCATCACATTGAGTAGGCCATGACCAACTCATTTCCCCAAGATCTAACATGCTAAGAAACTGACTTCTATGGAGTACTTCCTTCACAAGTGTTTTTTTCTATTGGGATATGTCTAACCCAGAGATCAATGTTCATGGCGAGTCTGTGCTCCTTCCCCACCTCCCAGGGCAGTTGCTTGTCCAGGTAATGTTCAAATAAAAAATAAATCTCCTTCATGGGCAATTACACTCTATAGCAATCCCTTACCCAGCACTCCAAGCAAGGGGGGGGCATTACCAGCTACATGATACACTTCATATGAGACCAGACAGTAAGATATTAAGAGGTGAATCACTCTTCACCCACTCTCAGTTCCAAGTAGATACAGTCCTCATTCACTGTTTCATACTGTGCTCTATGATGTCATTAGCTCTCAAACAAATAGTGGAAAGCCTAGATACAATGTATGCAGATCTTGGAGGAGGACCACAATTTGAAAACTCACCTGGGTCAGAGAATTGAAGGACACTAGAAAATAGTTGGGAATCTCTCCCCCAAAGTAAACATTTTGCATGACACTGGTGTTTTGCTTCAAAAGACTACTACCTGACACTCTAAAATGCTCCTTTCCAGGTTACCCACTAGGAAAACCTTGCCAACCTTAGCTAGGAAAAACAAGATGTATGTCCCTGTGATTTACAGTCAATCGAAAGATGAATCATTTCCCAATCAACTTTCTAAAAGTTGACAACATAGTACGAAATGAGAAAATGAATAATAAAACTGCAACCACTCACATAGATCCACTGATAATATTTAAAAAGTTGTTTCAAAAGGTCACAGTTTACTCAAGTTAAAAATAGCTAATACACTGGCAGTGGTGGGCTGGATCTCCGACTTCAAGGCCAACCTGGTCTACAAGAGCTAGTTCCAGGACAGGCTCCAAAGCTACATACAGATAAACTCCGTCCCAAAAAACCAAAAACCCAAACCAAACCAAACCAAAAAAGGTGAAAACAAATAAAACACAACAAAATCTTTGAGAGTTCAAGGCCAATCTGGCCTATGTAGTGAGATCCAGGACAGCCGGAGCTACATAGTGAGATCCTGTCTCAAACAAACACATAGCTCCCAACAACAATAAAAAAAAAAGCAAACAAAAAACCCCAACCAACCAACAAACAAAAAACAGTTAATACTATTAACCTAGAGTACTTATAAACACCAATACTTCTAAATGAAAGATGAGTTCAAAGCAAGGAGAGCATTCTGCATAAAGCTGCATGATTGATCCCAGGTGTTGAGAAAAAGCCCTCATTTACACAGTGGACTTTGAAAGTAAGCTGGAGTGTAAATCATTGGATGTTCAATATGGAAGGTCATTGTTTGCCATTTCGGCATTAGTAACAATAAACCAGAGAAATTCGTTAAATATATCAGGGCTACCTGAATTTTAAGCAGAAATCCCACTGTGACTCATAAAATGTAAATGTATAGGTATAATTTTTTACATAAGGCAGGTTTAAACCTTTAGAGCATTTAATATACAAGCACTAATAAATGATAGCACTGAAAACGATGACTGCATCAGCTAAATGGATTATAAATTAAATTTCCATAATGTATGCAACTGAGATACAAATGTAAGCATAAATCAAGGTATTTTCTAAATACAGGTTAGTTATATAACTCTAAAACTGTCTATTTTTTATGCAAAATAATCCACTTAGCATTTTGCAGCCCATTGCACCATACTTGTTCCTAGAAACGTATCAATAACTACCTGTCACAGGAGAAAAAGATAGGTATACAGAAAACCCTGTGCTATGTTTTCCAGCTATCTGTCCTTTATGAGTGTTTATAGCCAGAAATGGTGCCAAAACGATTTGAAATGAAAAGGATTAATTATAGTAGAAGCCTTTTAATATAAGTGAGTGCAGTCTCAATGTAATTAATGCAAATTGTGGCTCTATCAGGAGAAGAAATGTGAGCCACAGCACAGGCCACTTCTGTTTGCTGCCAAATAACTTTGGTAATTTACTACATTAAGAATCAATAAAAAAAATAATGCTTTTCAAATGCATCTCTATCAATCTTCAGGTAGTTCTAAAGTGAACATTTATAACTTAATCTAAAAACTATAGGAGATGATGTCTTGCTTTAAAGCTATCCTAAATGAGCAAGCAAATAATAATTTTAATTATTTCCAGTCAGGCTAACCACACAGTCTGAAAAACAAAACAGAGCTCTGAGCTAAGTATGCATACCCATAGTAGTACACTCTAGAACTGAGCTTTGGAAGTAAGAACTGGATTGACCCATGAGGATCTGGAGCATAAGCGCCTACTCTACAGGACACACACCAAGTCTTGGCTACAGGGGCCCAAGTAGAATCAACAGTATCATCCACTTAAAAAACTTATCAGTTGCCAACTACATCAAGCAACATTTTACAGACAGGGCTACTTCTATGAGTTTGTTTATAAAACCACATGCCCTTTCTTGATCCTTTCAGGTCACCTACAAATGTTTATGTCATCAAGACTCATTGAAGCTGCAATGGCTGCACAAGCCTTTGATTCCAGCACTCAGGAGACAGAGGCAGGTGGATCTCTGTAGCCAGTTTGGTCTAAAGAGAGAGTTCCAGGACAGCCAAGGCTACAGAAAGAAACCCTGTCTCAAAAAACAAAAAACAAAGAAAAGAAAAAAAACCAAAAGTCTCATTTAGAATCTTTGGTTTTCAGTCACAGGCAATTCCTGTAGCATTTAGGCCCACAGAGTTACCTGTGCTTACAGAGCACACATTCTTCTTATGATATCTACACTGGGCCAGGTTCACAACACCTTGCCAGCACTGTCAGGCCTTCTTTAATACAAGATTTTCACTTCTGGGCTCAGCAGGTAAAAGTGAATGCCACGCAAGCCTGAGAAAGACCCATTTTCAAAATCCATAATGGAAAGAATTCTTTCACAGTTGGCCTCTGACCTGCAAAAGTGCATTGTGGCACATGCTCACCTTCACACTGCATGTACATAACAACAATAACAAGGAAAAGCAAAAGCTTTTTACTCCAACAGCCTTATGACAACCTTTGGTGACAACAGTGACCCAGATGGCCATTATCTAATATTCTAGCCACCTCACTAGTTTAGCATGGCCACCTGGTCTTTAAGTCTATTCTGCTATGTACTGACCTCACTCAGATCCTCTTCACCCT